CATAGAGTTGTGAAGATTAAATAAAGATTTCACATAAAATGCTCAGCAGTGCTTTAGGTCTAAGTAAGCGTTCAATAAAGGTGGGCTATTATTAGCAGAGGTAATTAATGACAGAACTTGAACTTGAATAAAGAGTAGGTCTTTTCCAAGAGATAAGGGAGAATATAGACTCCAGGGAGCAAGAACAGAATACACAAAGACCTAGAGGCCTGGTTCTGGAACATTCTGCTTGTCTGCTGTGCTGTAGTAGGCGAAGTCTTTTCCTTGAGGAGTTGTAAATCTTTTTGACACCCTCTTCTTTCTCTTACTCCTTTCTCCGCTCCCTTCTGATCCCAACACACCCACAAAGGCAGCTTGGTTCTTTCAGTTTTATACTCAGAAGCATGCACCTGGCCCTGTACTTGATCATGAACTTGACTCCTCAGAGCAATGACACTAGTTTACTTGTCTTCTATTTCCCTCCCACTCCTCGATGCCACCCTCTTGTTGTTGGGGGCAGCCTTTGTCCCACATCCTTTGTTTAAGACGATTAATTGCTATTCCTCAGTGCCTGACAGTTTCTTTCAGGGGATGATGCAAATAAGGCTGCAAGTGGCCTGCCTTGATTTCCCAGAGGTCCCCAAGGGGTAACACCCTATTAGGACATTCACTGTGAACATTTAGTGAGCCTAACTCCTTCCGGGTTTGGAGAAGTTATCCATATAATAACAGAGCTGAGCCTGTTCAGTGTTTTGCTATGTTATGCTGCATCATCATTCAAAATGTTTTTCCTCCTAAAAGATATTTCTTCTCAGTATTATTTCTATTAACACAGTGCCCCCTTTTTAGAAAGCAACTAGTATCTTGAGTAAGAAACCCAGCCAGTCTTTGAATTTGAGTTCATCCATCCATTCATTTCTCTACACATATTTACTGAGTACCTACTTAGGGTAGGGGACTCAGCTACAAGTAGAGGATTTGACGTTGAACAAGGCCAACATCGCCCCTCCTCTCACAGAACTTACAGTCCAGCAAAGGAGGAAATTAAAACAATTCCAAGGCCAAGAGCAAAGACAGCCTAGGGAAAGCTTCTCTGAGGAAGTTCCTGCTAAAAAGAGATCAAAAGGATGGGGAGAATTAGCTAAGTAAAGGGATGGGGGGAAAGAGGTGATAAAATGAGATATGAAATACTTTGCAAACTGTGTAACAGCAGACATGTGTAAGACTGTATGGTTATCAAACATACATCCCTCCACAGCTCTCCAACCTCTGTCCCAGATACTCCTTCCACCAAGCTCCCTACTATCTCTGCTCATTTTTCAGAACAACCTTTATTCTAACTCTTGTTTTGTGGATGTTTATTATATTGTTAAGTTATTAGTACACTCTTGGGTTTGTGCTGGAGACAAGACCCTTTCTGGATGTAGGAGTGACCTGATTATTGTGTTGATTATGTGGGAACAGATCTCTCAGACCAGATCCTGGAGCTGAGAGGGATGCAAGGGGGTTGCAGAGTGAGATTTTGTTTCTCTTGGTCTTGATTCTGAAAGATGAAATATGCATGAAAGTCAGGCAAGGAGTGGTTATAATAGTATTTTTTAAAACTTTTTGATTGAGATCCATAGTAAGAAATACATTAACATAGTAACCCAGAACACACACGTTACTGAAACAGTTCCCCAACATTTGTGTTTTGGGAAAAATTACCCTTACTACATGTGATACAATCTGTTATTTTATATTTTGGATTTTGATTAGTGTTTTTCAGGGTGGCAATCCATTAGTGGGTCACAAAATCAATTTAGTGGGTCATGATGAGTACCTTAAAAAATGAAATGGAAGCATCCATGCAGAGATAGGCTGGGGATAATGAAGAAGATACCTCCACATTGCGGTCAATCTTTGGAGCTAGAATTTACTTATCTTGGACTTTCCCAGTCTCTATTTCTTGAACTATTTGTACTTTGTTATATGAAACTCGATATAGATCAGTGGTTATGGCTGTGGGTTCTGGAGTATGGGTTCAAATCTTGTCTCTGCTACTCAGAGGCTGTGTGACATGGGACACGTGACTTAGTCTCCTGCACCCTGATTGCCTGGTGTGTAAAATGGAGATAACAGCACTCACCTCTTCCAACTGCAAGGATTAAATGAGATAATGCAGTGCCTGGCACAAATAAACACTCAATAAATATTAGCCATTGTATGTCAATCTCTTTTATTTTCCCTTAGTATTAAGGTTCAGCTTTGCTCAGCTTGATAAGTAAAACCAAGGGAAGAATTATGCATACTGAAGTAGAAGGCTCTGGAAGCCAGCTTGCTTAGAGTAGCAAAGTGAAAGAAACACAAGGGGAAATTGAAATCCTAAGGGTCAGAGTGGGGGTCCTCAGTCCTTCCAGTGCTAACCCTTGAAAGTCCAGGGTTTTATTTTCTTAAAGAAAGCAGTTCCACTTACGGTTCTTCTCTCTAATATCAACACACTTTTGACCCTAGCTCCTGGCTACTCATCTAGATCAGACTTCAGTTTGTTACAGAAACTTGACGGAAGCTGATTGTGTATTTCCCCACAAATTTCTACTTGACATTCCCTGGGGTTCCTCTCCTTGTTTGGGTACTCTTTCTTCTTGTCAATCTTTTGTTGACCACATTACTTCTTTTCTGCACCTAGCAATAAAGGAGGCTTTTTTTTTTTTTTTTTAAATTTTGGGTATCAAGAGAAAAAATACTGAATAAGAAGATGAGAAGAAAAGAATATATCTTGTCACACCATTTTATAGAGGCAAAAGTATTCTATACTAAAAACATTTAATGCACTTAGTGTATACTAGTTAACCATTTCCACTCCAAAAACTGACAGACAGTTATCTGTGGGACACTCCCACAGGTGTAGCTAGAATCTCATTAAAAAAGAATTCCATTTTTTGAGATGATATACATAAAACATTTTATAACACGTAAATAATGAAATTAACAATTTACAGTTTTCTTAAAATTGCTATTTTGCAAAGAAAAATATAAATACAGGAGTCCCCTCTTTTCCTTGGATGATATGTTCCAAGACCCCCAGTGGATGGCTGAAACGACAGATGGTACCCACTCCCTATATATACACTGTTTTTTCCTATACACACACACCTATGATAAGGTTTAACTTATAAATTAGACACAGAAAGAGATTAAGAATAACTAATGATAAAATAGAACAATTATAACACTGTACTGTAATAAAAGTTACCATAGTCTTAGCAACCTCAGCGTACGACTTTTTTTTTCTTTCCTTATTACTTCGAAAACTTTCACCTTTTTGCTTAAAGGAAGCCCTTTACGGCTTCTCTGTGGCGTATCCGAATTGCCAGCATCACTACTCTTGTACTTTGGGGCCACTGTTAAGTAAGATAAGGGTGACTTGAACACAAGCACCACAATACTGCTATAGCTGATCTGATAACTGAGGCAGCTACTAAGTGACTCAGGGGTAGGTACGCTGGGCAAAGGGATGGCTCAGAGGAGGGAGCAGGACAGTGCAAGATTTCATCCCGATGCTCAGAACAGCGCACAATTTAAAACTCATGAATTGTTTATTTCTGGAACTTTTCATTTAATATTTTTGAACTGCAGTTGACTTCGGATAACCAAAACCGCGGAAAGCCAAAACGTGGAAAAGGGGGGAACTACTGTATCGTTATTTTAGAAATATGTAGCACTTTATAAAAGGGATAATTTTTCTATAACTCTGCTCCACAGAACAAAAACCTTATTGTTAAAATTATGTACAGCCTTTACAAATTTCTTACATTATTTGATAATGATCATTAAAACCTCGTATGATATAGTAAAATGTACAAATACTATCCAAATTAGCAACTATTCGAAACTTTAAGTAGATTTTTCCTGAATAATACATGTTTATTTTTAACCAGCTCAGATGTCAAGAGTTAAAGGCTAACAGTCCCCTGCCATCAGTCTTTCCTATGAAAATACTACAATATTTTCAATGAGCGTGTAAACAAACCATTGTTCCAGGCTTTATTTACACTGGAGCTGCCTGGCAAAATCCCACGCCTGATCTAGCCACTTGTTACGATTCCAAGTTTTTAAAAGTAATCCTTGCTATCTTCAATACTTCCTGCTTAGGGTCTGTTTCCAAGGCCTGTTTTTCCTATTCTTTTCTTTTTCCCCAAGAGCGATATTTCTGAGCTTTTACCGTAACGTTTATTTTTTTTCTGCTTATAATAATAATATATGAATCCTACAAGGCAGAAATAGTCTGTTAATGTATCGTCAGTTCTTCGAGCCTTCATCTGTCCTTCTACTGAGCCATCTTTTAACAAGAACTCATCGTTTCTAACAGCACGGAAGAGCAGAGACCAGGAGTCGGGCACAGGAAGGTATCGTCACGTGAGCGGGAGGTGGTGGAAAGTTTACACCAGCGAAAAAAATGTACATATTTGTTTATAAAAATCGCCTTTTGTTAAATTTAATAGAGGTGAACGGTAGTCTGTAAGCAGCTTCACTAAGCGCAACCGGGAAATCCAGTACGATGGGAAGAGACTAAAACCTTACCCGACAGCGCGGGAGGCGGCGCCCGGACAGGGCTGGGGGGTAGGTATGCGCCCGAGTCACGAGAAGGAGCCGGAAGGGCGGACTCGGGGGGGCGGGGCCAGCCGGGGCGTGGGCGGGGCCAAGCGGGGCAGGTCCGGTTGGGGCGGGGGCGAGGCCCCGTGGGAGAGGGACTCCGCCTGGCCAAGCACCCACAGGCACCTGATGGAGAGCAAATGCCCGTTTCCACACGTGGAGACTTTTAACGAACACGTGAGGGAAGCCAGGCAATGTCTGTGGAAAATCTGCTTCACAACTCTGGCGTCCTACCTCAACCCCCTGGGCGACAGCCCGTTTGCTGTGTTCCCAGGGGTCTTCGCCCCCTTCTAGTGACCCCTCACCCCCGCCCCACGCCCTAAGCAACGCTCTTGCAAAGCAGCCCCCACCCTAGGCGTCCGGGCCTGCGAAGCCTGCTAGGCGGCGGCCGCGCAGGTCGTCTGCGCCTGCGCCCGGGGCCCCACGACGGGGGCGGGGCCGCTGAGGAAAGGGGCGTCTCTCCCGCCAGCGCGCTGGGGGCGGAGCCGTGGGGCCGAGTGGTCCCGCGCCCCGCGGCCTGACCTCCCGGAACGCCGGGTCCCGTGACGTCACCTCGCCGTGACGCGCACGCTGTAGGAAAACTGTAAGTTTCGGAGGATTCGTGCAGCTCCCTGGGCCTGCGGGGCTCGCCCTGCTGCTCGCGTTCCCGGTGTTGGTGGTGGCTGTGGGGCGTTGGATCCTTGGGCGGTCTGGGGAGCCGCCGAAGGTGGTGAAGGGACAGGTGCCCGCCCGAGCGCGAGCGCTGCCTCCGGGGCGGGAGGGACCTGGAGTGCGAGGAGGCGAGGCCGCGCCCCGGGGCAGGCCCGCACCTTCTCCCCTGGGAGCCGGCGAGCGAGGCAGGGCAGGGCAGGGGCCGAATGGGGAAGTCCCTTTTTCTCTCTTTTGATGAAGGGACTTAGAGTCTCCTCAGCCCTCGAGTTTGACATGTGAAGTCGATGGAGGATTCTTTCCGAGACTCCGTATCCGGGCTTCCTTTGGGATCCCGCTAGTGACCAGATCGCTGAGGACAAATTAGAAAGATAACCACTTGCTGCCTCAGTTTCCTTTTTGTGTAAAATGGAGGTAAAGCCGCCGCTGGCCTCCCTGATTGTATTTCCCACGGGACCGAGAACATTGTGAGGTAACACAAGCATGTAAACTTGCTAGGAGAACATTTAGACTATCAGTATTCTGAGAATGTGGTGAGCGATGACCATTTGACAAAGGTCTTGTAGGTAGGGATCTTTTTCACAATTTTGCGTCCTTTCCCCCACCGCCCATTCTGCATCTGATCATGGACAACACTTGAGCCGGATGGGCCATCTGAACTATTGTCACTGAACTGGGTGGAACTGGGATCAAGAAATAACTGGTACCATTATCACAATGTTCTTGGCAATTAGGAGGCCCCCTTGTCCGGGTTTTGCAGAGAAAACTTTTAGCGTGCTGGAACTAGAACACTGTACTCAACACAGATACACTGTGAGTTTTAGGGGTTGTTGGCGGTGTCAGCTTGGAATAATCGATCATCATGTGTGACTGCTTGGATTTCTTGGCTTGCCAGGGGTTAGTGCGTTATTGATGAGTTAGTACTATACTATAATACTTCTCAAATTCAGGGACAAGTATTTGTCAGAAACTTTGAAGGGAAGAATATTGTGCACACCCCAGGGTGTGTTTATTCACGAGATTGAGAGAGCCCATTTCTGTAAATTCAGTTCAGGGGTGTACTATGCTTCCATCCTATTTTGAGGCGTCTTAGAATCAGAAAGCAGGCATTCTAATTTTTGTTCTGCCGGTTACTAGCTTTGTGTCCAAAGATGAGTCAGCCAAACTTGGAACTTTCTTTTTCTCTCTCAAATAGAAGATGATGGTATATCTGCTGTTTCTTTTTCAAGGATCCAGTGAGATCATGAGTGTGAAAATGGAAGACTAAGTATGGTATTGTTATTAGGAAATTTGCATAGGTCCCCTAGCCTGGGTAAGAGGTGTGTGCTTTCAGAAGTCAGGTTCTGAGTCAGAACTAGAAATAGAAGAGCAAATAAGACCAAGTCTCCAGCCTAGTGGAACTCGTGTTCCAGCGGGGAAATAGGCAACAAAGAATAAGTACCTGATGTTATTTCAGATAGTGATGGGTACAGTGAAGTAAAGGAAGATAAGAGAAGGACAGTGGGGGAACGGGGCAGGTTGTTTTAGATAGGGTCTGTCAGGGAAAGCCTTCCAAAGGAGGTGACAGTTGAATCACTTGAACTGAGAGGAAGAGCCTGAGGTAAGAACATTTTAGGCAGGAATAATAATAGCAATAAACACTTATGTGGAGCTTACTATATGTGAGCCACTCTTCTAAACACTAAATTTTTACAACCTCTTGAGGTAGATACTAATATCTCCGTTTTTATAGATGAGGAAACTAACACACAGGAAGGTTGAGAATTTGCTCAAGTGATAAGATAAAATGTGATAAGAGACAGTGATTGAATTTGGGCAGTCTGACTTGAGAGTGGGTGCTCGAAAAGGCAGTACTGTACTGCCTCGCAGCAGGAGCAGCGGCAGAACAGTGCTCTGAGGTGGAAACGAGCCTGAGGTGGCCAAGGCATAGCCAAGTGAGAGTGTTTAGAGCACAGTGAGGAAGGGGGAAAGTGGTGGCAGATGATGTTGGAGGGCCAGGCAGACCCTGGGGGCTCTTGTAGGCTTGGTGAAGTAAAGATGTTATTTTAAATGTGATGGAAAACTATTGGAAGGTTTGCACCAAGGGAATAGCAACTGATTTCAGTTTTATTGGCTGAAGAATTAACTGTAGGATTAGAGTGGGGTGTATTGAAAACGGGGAGATAGGAAGCTATTGCCGTAGCCTGGGTGAGCAATGGAGGTGTCTTGAGCTAGAAGGAGGTAGTTGTAGAGATGATAGTAAGTGGTGGAATTCATGATATGCTTTTGAAGCTGGAGCTGCTGGTGTGGCCTTACTCGTGTGGAGTGTGAGGAAAAGAGAGAAGCGATGACTTCTTAGGTTTTAGGCTGGAACAACTGGGAGAATAGTGGTGCTCTTTACTGAGACGGGAGAGAGGGGTTTGGGAAGAAAATCACGAATTCAGTTTTGGACAAGGTTTAGATGCCTATTAGAGTAACAATAGTAGTAGTGCTAGTAATAATAGTAAGCTCTATGTGAGTGTAAACTGTGTGCTAGGCAGGGTTTTAAGCTTTTACATATATTAATTCATTTAATCCATATAACTGTTGTATGTGCTAGGAACCGTTATAGTCCCCATTTCACAAATGAGAAAACAGAGATGCCGAGAGGTTAAAAGTGACTTGCCTTGAGTCATCCAACTTGTGAGTGATGGAGCTGGGAGTCACACTCAAGTAGTCTGGCTTTGGAGTCCATGTGTTAGTCCCTGTAACTACTTCCAGGTGGACATGTTGAGTAGGCAGTTGGATCTGTGAATATGAAACTCAGGGGAATGGTCAGGGCTGGAGAGAGACATTTATGTTTCTGAAGAGAAAGCCTGCCTTTGTTCCTCATCTAAGCCTTGGGTGGCGATGGGAGAAAAGAACATAGGCAGTGGGGCTGTGCTAACTGGTCTTGCATTGCTTGATTCTCTTCATGCAGCCAGTATTCAATATCTCCCTTACAGGAGGTTCCGTGAGGGTGAGGTCTGTATCTCTTGTACTTCTCTAACTCTAGTCCCTAATCCAGTGCCTGCCATGTAGTGGATGTTAGGGCTGACTTTATATGCAGGACATTTGGTTAGGTTTTGGGAGTTCAGAGATGAATAAAACATAGCACTCTTCCTGGAGGAGCAGAGTATGAGGAAAAAGCTGTGGGAAGAAAACTAGAGTAGACTAAATGCATAAATGCATGCTGATTTCTTATCCAGGCCTCCTGCAGCCTCCTGTGCCCCACATGCTTGAGGGATGGGACATGAAAGGGTCAAAGGAGCGGAAGAATGTCTAAGCAATCGCAGGCTGAATTTGAGGCCCCCTAAGCGTCCATTTCAACAAAAGAATTACCCTAAATCTTGCATATTTTACTGTATTTGCATTAGTTTTATTTGGCAATGATATAATTTTTACCAAATGAAATACATTCTGATATTTGAATATCGTTGTGCAGTGATGAGTTTTTCCAGTTCTCTTACCTCAGTGTTGACAGGGCTCACTAGTGAAATAAGGGAGTTGGCTTGAAATGTTGCAGCTTGCATAATAGAAGGTGATGGAGGGCTGTGTGAAGTATTTAGACAGGTTTCCACCAGTTTAAGCGTATCATGCCAAAGTTGCACATATTTGGAGAAGTTTGAGTTTCTCTGCTGATCATCTCTTTGAGATAACATTTTTTGTCATAGAAAGGGGATCTGGCGATATAGTCATAGGTGGAATTATATATTACATCTCTTATATGTGGAACATTATAAAACATAAAAACTAGAACAGTATACACAAAAATAAGTGTTTTATTTCTCTAGATTTCTTTCAAAGGTATACTATAACCTCAATACATTCTTCACAATTTTATTACTTCCTACCATGAGTATTTCAAATTTGAACCATTAAAAGAGTATATAAAATTACGCCATTGTAGATTTTATGGTTAATTTCAGAGTTTTTTTTCTTACACTAGATAAAATTATAGTTTGTTTAGCTTTTTTAGCTTTCAGTGGGAGAGTTGATCTGAATGACCAAGTCCACTATAACTCTAAACAGGAACCCTCCACAAATATAAACGTAGAAATATGCCATCTCATTTTACAGTTCACAGATTTTAAATCTGCTGTTGTAGCATTTCTAAATTTAATGGAGTTGAAATGATTAGTATTTCTTTATGCTACAATTGCAGTTAGCTTCCTTAGGAACATTAGATATGGTATAAAGTAGAATTGCATCTTAAATGGCCTGTTGATTGCTCGGGCTTTGTTACTTTGTAAGTTCAGGCTCAGGGAGGGCAGGTTGATGGTTATTTAATTGTGTCAGATAGCTCCCAGCAGAGCGGGAGTGGTAAGTCCTCCTGTTTGAAGACAACAGAAGCCACTCTTTCTAACACTGACCAGATGAAATATAGCATCCTAGATAACTTATAAAACCCAAATTCCTTTTAAATTTATATTTACAGAAGCAAATTTAAAAACTATGTTAAGAATATTAATGTAAACATATGGAAATTGTTTCTTGTAGAAAACCATGTGTCTAGTTGAGTGATGGAATGTAGTGGGCATTAAATATAATTCTTAAAATTCCACTTCTTATAGTTTCTTTTATTTCTGCATATTACTTTCAACTCATATATATACATATCTTATATATTTGCAGTAATAGCTGAATACTAGTTTGTGTACTTTTACTTAACATTGTAAATGTTTGAATATATTTAAATAATTTAAATAGATAAGTAGCGCTTAATTTTGATTCATTTCATATTTGCTTAGAAATTAAAATCATGGGGTTTGGATTTTTTTCCCCACATAAACACTAATGACTAATAATTAGTAAGTCTGAATACTAAATGACTAATAATTAGTAAGTCTGGATGGAGACTAAGCTTTAGTGACAAGTTAACCAAGTTGTCACCCTAGAAGAACACCCAAGAAGAAAATTCTTAGAGAAGATTAAGCA